CCTGCTGCTGTGTATTTGGAGTTTGCGCGTCTCTCTCTCGCCCTGTGGTCGCGTGGATTCGTCTCCGGGTCCTCTGGTTGTTCCCTCCACATTTAGAAACGTGGCCGCTATAATGATCTACATTTCCACATGATAAGCCCTCATCCCCATCATTATTGTCATCCCCATCATCATCCCCATCATCATCCCCACTGTCATCCTCACTCTCATCCCCATCATCATCCTCACCCTCATCCCCATCATCATCCCCATCATCATCCCCATCATCATCCCCATCATCCTCCCCACCCTCATCCTCATCCCCATCATCATCCCCACTGTCATCCTCACTCTCTTCCCCATCATCATCCTCACCCTCATCCCCATCATCATCCCCATCATCCCCATCATCATCCTCATCCTCATCCCCATCATCCTCACTGTCATCCTCACTCTCATCCCCATCATCATCCCCATCATCATCCCCACCCTCATCATCCCCACCATCATCCCCACCCTCATCCTTATCCTCCCCCCCCATCCTCACCCCCACGACCCTCCTCCCCACTACCCTCCTCCCCACTACCCTCCTCCCCACCACCACCCTCATCCTCCTCACCCCCGGAGCAGCCAAACTCCTCGTCGAACCAGCAGTAGGGGTCGGTGCCGGGCGACACGGCGACCGCGGCGCCTCCCGGGGCGGGCGCCACCGTCAGCCGCCGCCGCGGCCGCCGCCCCCCGACCCCGTGGCCCCACGGGAGCACGGCGAGGGCCGCGCGCAGGCGGGCCGAGCGCCCGTCGGCCACCAGCACCACGTAGCTGGCGTTGCCGGCGGCCGCGGCGCCGTCGCGCTCGTGGCGGGCGCCGAGCGCCACGTTGGCGCCCGAGATCCACCCGCGGTGCGCACGCGTCCTGGCGAGGCCACGCGCCACCTGCAGCACCGAGGCGTAGACGGTGCCGAAGAGCGGCGAGGCCTGCGGGCGGGACGGCGGGGGTGGTGGTGGTCATGGTGGTAGTGGTGGTGGTGGTGGTGGTGGCGGCGGTGGTGGTGGTGGCGGCGGTGGTGGTGGTGGTGGTGGTGGCGGTGGTGGTGGCGGCGGCGGTGGTGGCGGCGGCGGTGGTGGTGGTGGTGGCGGCGGTGGTGGTGGCGGCGGCGGTGGTGGTGGTGGCGGCGGTGGTGGTGGTGGTGGTGGTGGCGGCGGTGGTGGTGGTGGTGGTGGCGGCGGCGGTGGTGGTGGTGATGGCGGCGGTGGTGGTGGTGGTGGCGGCGGTGGTGGTGGTGGTGGTGGCGGCGGCGGCGGTGGTGGTGGGGTTGAGGAAGGCGGACGGGGCGGGGATGGAGACGGGACGGGGATGGGAGGGCAGAGGAGGAAGCGTCGCAGCAAGAAAGGACAGAGATAATGATGACGTTGATTAGGATCATGATGACATTGATGATGATGACGTTGATTACGATCATGATGAAAGTGATGATGATGATGCCGTTGATTAGGATCATGATGACAGTGATGGTGATGATGATTAGGATCATGATATTGATGATGCTCACATTGATTACGATCATAACGACAGTGATGATGATGATGATGACGTTGCTGGCCTCACCTGCTTGGGCTGGAGTTGCGCCGCGTCACGGAGATCAGGGGTCAGGGCGCGGGTCACGGTCACGACCCCGGCGTAGGCGCGCCGCAGCGCCGGGTCATCGGCCAGAGCCGGCACCGGGCCAGAGTCCGCCTGAGAGACACGCTCACCACTCACTCACCAATTACTCACTCACCACTCACTCACCAATCACTCACTCACCACTCACTCACCAATCACTCACCACTCTCACTCACCAATCACTCACTCACTCACCACTCACTCACTCACTCACCACTCACTCACCACTCACTCACCACTCACTCACTCACCACTCACTCACTCACCACTCTCACACACTCACCACTCACTCACCAATTACTCACTCACTGACCACTCACTCACCACTCACTCACCACTCACTCACCACTCACTCACTACTCACTCACCACTCACTCACCACTCACTCACCACCCTTACTCACCACTCACTCACCACTCACTTACCACCCTCACTCACCACTCACTCACCACCATCACTCACCACTCACCACTCACTCACCAATCACTCACCACCCTCACCAATCACTTACCACCCTCACTCACCACTCACTCACCACACTCACTCACCACTCACTCACCACTCACTCACTCAACACTCACTCACCACCCTCACCACTCACTCACCACTCACTCACCACTCACTTACTCACCACTCACTCACCACTCACTCACTCACCACCCTCACTTACTCACCACTCACTCACGACCCTCACTCACCACTCACTCACCACTCACTCACTACTCATTCACCACTCACTCACCACTCTCACTCACCACTCTCATTCACCACTCACTCACCACTCCCTCACCACTCACTCACCACACCCTCACCACTCACTCATCACCCTCACTCACCACTCACTCACCACCCTCATTCACCACCCTCACTCACCACCCTCACTCACCACTCACTCACCACTCACTCACGACCCTCACTACTCACTCCCCACTCTTACCACTCACGACTCAATCACCACCCTTAACACTCACTCATCAATCACTACTCACTCACCACCCACCACTCACCACCCACCAGTCACCACTCACTCACCACCCACCAGTCACCACTCACTCACCACCCACCACTCACCACTATCACAGGTCACATGAGATGGAGTCACGGGCTGGGTGAGATGGAGCCACGGGCTGGGTGAGATGGAGTCACGGGCTGGGTGAGATGGAGTCATGGGCTGGGTGAGATGGAGTCATGGGCTGGGTGAGATGGTGTCACGGGCTGGGTGAGATGGAGTCACGGGCTGGGTGAGATGGAGTCATGGGCTGGGTGAGATGGAGTCATGGGCTGGGTGAGATGGAGTCACGGGCTGGGTGAGATGGAGTCACGGGCTGGGTGAGATGGAGTCACGGGCTGGGTGAGATGGAGTCACGGGCTGGGTGAGATGGAGTCACGGGCTGGGTGAGATGGAGTCATGGGCTGGGTGAGATGGAGTCATGGGCTGGGTGAGATGGTGTCACGGGCTGGGTGAGATGGAGTCACGGGCTGGGTGAGATGGAGTCATGGGCTGGGTGAGATGGCGTCACGGCTGGGTGAGATGGCGTCACGGGCTGGGTGAGATGGCGTCACGGGCTGGGTGAGATGGAGCCACGGGCTGGGTGAGATGGAGTCACGGGCTGGGTGAGATGGAGTCACGGGCTGGGTGAGATGGAGTCACGGGCTGGGTGAGATGGAGTCATGGGCTGGGTGAGATGGTGTCACGGGCTGGGTGAGATGGAGTCACGGGCTGGGTGAGATGGAGTCACGGGCTGGGTGAGATGGCGTCACGGCTGGGTGAGATGGCGTCACGGGCTGGGTGAGATGGCATCACGTGAGATAGAGTCACGGGCTGGGTGAGATGGAGTCACGGGCTGGGTGAGATGGAGTCACGGGCTGGGTGAGATGGAGTCACGGGCTGGGTGAGATGGCGTCACGGCTGGGTGAGATGGAGTCACGGGCTGGGTGAGATGGAGCCACGGGCTGGGTGAGATGGAGTCACGGGCTGGGTGAGATGGAGTCACGGGCTGGGTGAGATGGAGTCACGGGCTGGGTGAGATGGAGTCACGGGCTGGGTGAGATGGAGTCACGGGCTGGGTGAGATGGAGTCATGGGCTGGGTGAGATGGAGTCATGGGCTGGGTGAGATGGTGTCACGGGCTGGGTGAGATGGAGTCACGGGCTGGGTGAGATGGAGTCATGGGCTGGGTGAGATGGCGTCACGGCTGGGTGAGATGGCGTCACGGGCTGGGTGAGATGGAGTCACGGGCTGGGTGAGATGGAGCCACGGGCTGGGTGAGATGGAGTCACGGGCTGGGTGAGATGGAGTCACGGGCTGGGTGAGATGGAGTCACGGGCTGGGTGAGATGGAGTCATGGGCTGGGTGAGATGGAGTCATGGGCTGGGTGAGATGGTGTCACGGGCTGGGTGAGATGGAGTCACGGGCTGGGTGAGATGGAGTCATGGGCTGGGTGAGATGGCGTCACGGCTGGGTGAGATGGCGTCACGGGCTGGGTGAGATGGCATCACGTGAGATAGAGTCACGGGCTGGGTGAGATGGAGTCACGGGCTGGGTGAGATGGAGTCACGGGCTGGGTGAGATGGAGTCACGGGCTGGGTGAGATGGAGTCACGGGCTGGGTGAGATGGAGTCACGGGCTGGGTGAGATGGAGGCACGGGCTGGGTGAGATGGAGTCACGGGCTGGGTGAGATGGAGTCACGGGCTGGGTGAGATGGAGTCACGGGCTGGGTGAGATGGAGTCACGTGAGATGGAGTCACAGCCTGGGTGAGATGGAGTCACGGGCTGGGTGAGATGGAGTCACGGGCTGGGTGAGATGAAGTCGTGGGCTGGGTGAGATGGAGTCACGTGACACGTGAGATGGAGCCATGGGCTGGGTGAGATGGAGTCACTGGCTGGGTGAGATGGCGTCACGGGCTGTGTGATTTGAATAATTCAGGTTGTCGCTTCTGGCCCGCAAGCCGTGGCCCGTGCCCCCCCCCCCCCCCCCCCCGGGGGCCGCGAGTGCCGGGGCTGCCCACCTCTCCGGGCTGCCCCCAGGGCAGCGCGTACAGCATGGCGTCGTAGGGGATGAAGGCAAGGTCCGAGGCGAGACCGAGACGCGCGGCGCTCCGCAGGAGAGCAGCGTGCGGGCGCCCGCCCATGAGCGCGGACGGCATGCAGGTCACCACGGCTGCGCGCACAGACACAGATCACCCGTGTAGCCTTCGACAGGGGCTTGTTTGGAGCATTGTCTGTTGGCGAGTGGCACGGCACACGGTGTGGGGGTGGGTGGCCAGCACCACGCCTGGCCGCCTTTGTCTCCCCGGTGCTGATGATTTACACACACCGCGCCAGGTACTCGTTTGAGGCTCGGGCATAGGTAAACACAAACACGCGCGCGATGTAATCGCCATTGGCCAAACATCCCATATGCTGAACTGCCTCCAACTGCCAGTAGCGTCCTTCACGAGCCTCCTCCACAGAGGCCGATCTTGACATCGCTGGTACCAGTCATCGGCAAGTCCACTCAGCTCCACGTCCTCCTGTACCACATCACTCCATCTCTTCTCTAGCCCGTGCCGCGCCCGTTTAGCCCCTCGATCCGGCCGAAAAAAAGCTGTTTATACTCCATATTTTAAAAGCTGTTTAGGCATGTGGTGGCTGGGCATGCGGGCTACATGACCCAGCCAATGCAGCCTTGCCTGCTGGAGGAGCTCACCGATGGAACCTTGCCCATATCTTTCAAGGATTTGTGAGCTCCTCACACAATCCAGCCTGGTTAAACCCAGGATGGATCGTAGGCAGGCCAGCCTAAATGTTTCCAACCGGTGAAGATGCTCCATTAGGGGGGTCCACGTTTCGCAAGCGTAGAGAAGGGAGGGAATGACTGTGGCCCAGAAGACTTGAAGCTTAGTGCGGAGCGACAGACCAGGTAGCTTCCACACAGCGTTACGTAACCGATGAAAAGATATTGCCGCTCGACTGATTCGGAGTGAGAGCTCTGCTGTTAAACCGGAGCCGGTCATGAGCACACTGCCCATGTATGGGAAACTCTCCACTCTCTCCACAACTGCCCCATCACCGATTGGGAGTTGTGGGGGTGGAGTGTCCGATGGTACAAAATACCCAGGCAAGTGCTTAGTACTGTACTGGTAGGAACTTCCTGGTTACACCAGCCCACAGGGGATTATTGTGTCCGTCCGTCCATCGTGCAGGGAGGGGCTGGGTGGGGAGGGAGGTGCTGGGTGGGGAGGGGAGGGTAGGGAGGGGCTGGGTGGGGAGGGTGGGGCTGGGTGGGGGGTGGGAGGGGTGGGGCTGGGTGGGGAGGGGTTGGTCACCCCGTGGTGCCCTTAAAAAACTCAACGTTTCACCTACTCACGCCGGCTTGTGCCCGCCCTCACAGTCGGGCATATTTGCGGAATACACCACGCCGCCGTTGACCCTGGCCATTGACCGAGTAACCCAACGTTCCTACCAGTTCCCTCCGCAGGAATGTGTTTTTGGTTGGGCTGATGGTAAGGCCCCACCTCTTAGTGGCACGCTCCAGTTTCAGCAACAGCGTCTCCAACTCCTCCTCTGAATGAGCAGCTATTACCAAATCATCGGCATACATAACGTGTTCTTGGTTCTTTCGGTAAAGTCACGTAGAAGGGAAATAATAAAATAATAAAAATAAAACATAATAAAATTTTTCTCACGACGTTTCGGCCACAACGCAAGCAGCCGTCCTCAGGTGAAAACCAGGTCCGTCGAGGCGACAGAGTCTGAATAAAACAGCACACGAGCTTGGAGCATATATATAAGCTGGGCGCCTTGACAAAGGAATTTGCATATCAAGAGGAATTTGATATGCAAATTCCTTTGTCAAGGCGCCCAGCTTATATATATGCTCCAAGCTCGTGTGCTGTTTCATTCAGACTCTGTCGCCTCAACGGACCTGGTTTTCACCTGAGGACGGCTGCTTGCGTTGTGGCCGAAACGTCGTGAGAATAATTTTATTATGTTTTATTTTTATTATTTTATTACTTCCCTTCTACGTGACTTTACCGAAAGAACCAAGAAGATGAATCCCTGCAGTCACGAAAGCTTTAAATCAAAATACATAACGTGGTTGACCAATAGGGAGCCATCCCTTGACCTCCCATTATATCTGTATCAAATGGAAATTCCCCGGGACAGTTATTGAAGGCTTCACGAACTACGTGGTCAAAATAGATGTTAAATAATGTGGGAGCCAGAGGACATCCCTGTCGCACCCCAAGGTGTACAGGGAATGGCTTTGACTCCCGGCCACGTAGTTTTACCCGGGCCCGCTCACCATCATGAAGGTCCTTAATGATCGTGAGCAGAGGGTCAGGGACTCTGAAAGCACGAAGAACAACCCAGAGCCCAGGCCTACTGATGGTATCATAGGCCTTGACCAGGTCAATAAAGTAGAGATGTAGGTCTTGTTGGAATTTCCTACACCTCTGCTGTAGCAGACGGACAGAAAATATGGCATCTGTGCTGTTCAACACACACACATACATACACACATACATACATACACACAACAACAACCGCCATTCGCCACTAAGTGGTGGTGACGTCACCACGACGCTTGTGCCAGGCACACACATACATACACACATACGTACATACACACGTACATACACACATACATACACACATACATACATGCACACATACATACACACATACATACACACATACATACATGCACACATACATACACACATACATACACACACAAACACACATACACACATACATACATACACACACATACATACACACATACATACGTACACACGTACATACATACACATACATACAAATCCAAATGTACAACAGGGGTCAAGGGTCGGGATCTAAACCCAAAGACCTCTTACATACCGGGCGAGGGAGTTAACATCCGTCAGGCCCCGCGCGCGGGGACGCAGCAGCGCTCACCGCGAGCGCCGAAGCGCGACGCCATGGAGAGCGCTCGGTCGTGGCTGTCGTGGCTGCCGCCGTCACTGCCGTGGCTGTCGTGGCTGTCGTGGTTGTCGTGGGGCGTGGACACGGGCGGCAGCTCCAGCACGAGCAGTCCCCGCGCCCGCACGGCGCGCACCAACTCGCGCGCCGCGCCGCGCCACACCGCCGAGCCCGACTCGCTCGCCTGCTCGCACCGCAACCACCACCACCACGATCACGACACACACCACCACAATCACGACACGCGCAACCACCACCACCACGATCACGACACGCAAAGCCACCACCACATTGACAAATCGAGTCAGTTCCATATCCTCTTGGACCACATCACTCCATCTCTTCTCTAGTCTGTGCCGCGCACGTTTAGCACCCTATGTATGGCCGAACAAAATCTGTTTGGGCATGCGGTAGCTGGGTATGCGGGATAGATGACCCAGCCAACGCAGTTTTGACTGCCAGATGAGCTCACCGATGGGACTGTGTCCACATCTGTCGAGGGTCTGTGAGGTCCTCACACAATCCAGTCTGCTGGTTAAACCAGGATGGATCGTAGGCAGGCCAGCCTGAATGTTTCTAACCGGCAAAGACGGTCCATTAGGGAGGTCCACGTTTCGCAAGCGTAGGGAAGGGAGGACATGACCGTGGCCGAGAAGAGCCGAAGCTTCCCGTTGAGCGACAGACCGGGTAGCTTCCACGCAGCATTACGCAGCCGATGAAAGGATAATGTCGCTCGGTTGATTCGGAGTGAGACCTCTGTTGTCAAACCGGAGCTGGTTATCAGCACACTGCCCAGGTACGGAAACCTCTCCACTCTCTCCACAACTGCCCCATCGCCAATTGGGGAGTTGAGGGGGGTGGAGTGTTTGATGACACAAAATACCCAGGCAGGTGCTTAGTTTTGTCGGGGCTGATGACAAAGCCCCCATCTCTTAGTGTCACGCTCCAGGTCAAGCTGCAGCAGCAGCGCCTTCAACTCCTCCTCTGAGTGAGCAGCAATAACCACCGACACGACCACCACCATCATAATCACCACCACCACGACCACCATGACACACACCGCCGCAACCACAAACACCACCGCCGCCGCTGTGAGAGTGGCGTTGAGTCCGTGGTGGAGGTTCGTCCTTGTCTACGTGTCTACGTGTCCACGTGCGCCGCGCGGGGGTCAAAGCCGCCGTGGCCGCTACCTCCACGGTGACCACGGCGATGCGCGCCCAGCGCAGGTGACGCAGCACGGCGAAGAGCGCGTCGGCCGGAGACGGCGCCATGTTGGCAAAGTGTGTGGAGAGATCGTCCCTGAGAGGGGGAGGGGGAGGTGGGATCAGGCCCAGCGCTAGCGAGGTGACGCTTCACTGCTAATCGCCACCACGGAATCCGGATTCGTGATCCCGGCGACAGAACGCTGACCCTACCGACCCATAGCCTGAGCCTGTTGACCCATAGCCTGACCCTGGTGATCCATACCCTGATCCTAGTGACGTATGCCCTAACCCTACCGACCCATATCTAGGCCCTACCTACCCATACCCTGACCCTACTGACCCATAGCCTGAGCCTGTTGACCCAAACCCTGACCTTGGTGACCCATACCCTAACCCTACCGACCCATAGCCTGACCTTGGTGACCCATAGCCTGAGCCTGTTGACCCATATCCTGACCTTGGTGACCCATACCCTGACCCTGGTGATCCATACCCTGACCCTACCGAGCCTTAACCTGACCCTGCTGACCCATATCCTGACCCTACTGACCCAAACCCTGACCTTGGTGACCCATACCCTGACCCTGGTGATCCATACCTTGATCCTAGTGACCTATACTCTAACCCTACGGACCCATACCCTGACCCTACTAATCCATACCTTTGACCCTTACCTGGGCCAACGTTGCCCCCCCCCCCAACGTTGTTGACCCCCACCCCCTCCCTCCCACGCACTCACTGCTCTTTGTCGCCGTCGTCGTTGCTGTCGGCCCCCCCTCCACGTTGCGGCCGCGTGAGCCTGCGGCTGAGGCAGGCCGGCCCCACCATCGCCTTGTCCCAGCGCTGGGTCAGCATGGCGGCCACCTCGCACAGCTCCGCATTGAAGGGCCCCACCACCGCCGAACAGCGACGCTCCCACGTGGACATTCCCTGCGGACGCCGGCAGCGTCTCGTATCAGAATTAGAATCTTTAAAATGAAACGTTAAAAAATGCTTAGAAAAATTAGTACCCTCTTGAAAACATATACATATACATACACAAATAGTAAGCTGTTGTGAAAGCCCGGCGCGCCGTTTGTCTGTCCATTTGTCCGTCAACAAAATCATAAGAGGCTTGCAGAAGTCCAAAACTTTTAGAAAGTGGGGGAGGAAATAGTTGATCAAAAAGGTTTCCGAAAATTGTCGACCCACCCCCGCTCAAAACATA